CTAAGAGGTCAAAGTACTGGATACTTTAGGCTAAGAGGTCAAAGTACTGGATACTTTAGGCTAAGAGGGAAAAGTACGGGATTCTTTGGTATAAGAGGTAAAGCTAGACTTTAGTGGACCTGATCTTGGTTTCTGGAACCACAGAGACCAGTTCTCCTTTGTTAGAACTGTCAGATCAATGCCATTACTACAAAATAAAAGCCTGCAAGTGTTTGTAGAACGTCAGGGTTCATTTGGACCTGCGTAGTCTCTGGTTGGTTCTGTGTAGACAGTTCTAGGTCTGGCAGAACTCGGATCATGAATCCTGAGAGGAGCTGCTGACTGAGTCCTTTTTTTTTTTTTTATTCAGATGAGGGTGGGAGCAGGAACGCTGCCAACACACCAGGGGAGTGCGTGCGTGTGGGGGTGGGGGGGGGTGTTGGTATGGGGGATGGGTGACTGATCTAAGGATGATATCTGGGTCACAGTGTGTTTTCTGACCCACTCTTCATATCACAATGTGTGAAGCGCAGTGCGTGTGTGCATCAGAGTGTGTGTCTTCAAAGGATGCTGATGTTTTATTAATGCGAGCTTCTTGTTTATTTCATGACTCAAGTCATTAATGGATGAAGATGCTGTAGAAGCTTCACTGCTCCTCCATCTCTGATGGTTCGCACCTCCCTGCTCCTCCTGCAGATCATAAAACAACAAGACTCCTTCCATCAGGAGCAGCTATCTGAACTGGACCGAGCTGCTCTTTAGCTAGCTTTAGCTAGCTTTGAGGGTCAGGGGGCCGTGGTGGCTCGGGGGTCTGGGTCTGCTGAGGCTGCAGGGTGGAGCTTCTGTCTGTGATGGTTGATGTTTGGCGGTCTCTAAAGGTTCTCCGTCTGCCGTTCCACCTCTTCTGTATCAGCTTCCTCTGGAAGTGACCGTTTGTTCTCAACTCAAAGGTCAAATATTTAATTTGGCAGCACAATGGTGGGCTCAGTGGTTAGCACTGTTGTCTCACAGCAAGAAGGTCCTGGGTTCAATCCCTGGTTGGACCTGGGGTCTTTCTGTGTGGAGTTTGCATGTTCTTCTCGTGCTTCCATGGGTTTTCTCCGGGTACTCCGGTTTCCTCCCACAGACCAAAAACATGCAGGTTAGTCTGCCTTCAGGTCCAGGCTTCCCTTGAAAAAGAGACCTGTGATTTCAGTGAGATTTGCCTGGTTAAATAAAGATTAAATAAATAAAGTAAAGATTAGTGTTCAGCTGCTGCCAGATGTCCTGGTTTCAGTCCAGGCTTCAAACCAAATCCAGGCCTCAATCCAGACTTCAGTCCAGACTTCAATCCAGGTCCAGGCCTCAAGCCAGACTTCAGTTCAGACTTCAGTCCAGGCCTCAATCCAGGCTTCAGTTCAGGCTTCAAACCATGTTTCATTCCAGGTTTCTTTCCAGGTTTCAACCCAGTCTTCATTCCAGGCTTCAATCCATGTGTCAATCCAGACTTCAGTCCAGACTTCAATTCAGGTCCAGGCCTCAATCCAGGCTTCAGTTCAGGCTTCAATCCAGGCTTCAAACCAGGCTTCAGTCCAGGCTACAATCCAGTCTTCAATCCAGGCTTCAATCCAGGCTTCAATCCAGGCTTCATTCCAGGCTCAGGGAATCTGCTCCTACTTTACGCAAAGAGTCTCTTTCTATTGGAGACAACAGAGTTGGTGTATCAGAACCTCTGGAGTGAAGCATTTCATTAAAACTAGACCAGCGGCTGCAGAAAACTGCTGGTGTGGTCTGACCCTGACCTCCCAGCTCAGTCCTGGTCTGTAGGCCCGCTTACCCCCGACCCCCAGCTTAAACACACGCCAGTGTTTGTCTGTTGACAGATCTGAGGTCAGCTTCCAGTCAGCAAGGATCATAAAGTTCTCTGGGTTTCTCCACTCATTGTCTTTAAATGCAACTAACCAGAAAAGAAGCTCATGTTTACGAGCTGCAGTGAACGCAGCACGTTAAAATATGTCTCCTCAGGTTTCTATTGGAACTTTTTAAATCTCAGTCTTTAGTGTCTTTAGCTGGTTTCTGACCTCCTGGCCTGTGTGTGTTTGGGGGATCAGAGGTCAGCTTCTTGTGGCGTTAAGAGGATGTTGCAGAGTTTAGTTTTCAGGTTTTAGGTTTCTTATTGTAGCTCCTCGTTGCTGCCACTCGTCCGTGATCGGTGGCCTGCCATCCACTTCCTGCCCCACCCCCCCCACATGCCTGCCCCGCCCCCAGGGCAGGTTTAATCAGGTTGTGTGTGTGGAACAAGAACACATCAGTAACAGAACAGTGACAGATGCTGAACTTCCCTGTTTATGTTTAGGCTGAATTTATACGATTCAACTGGAATGTATCCAGTCTCATTTAGTCTCCTCATTCAACACCACCTCCTCCTCTGACACCTCCTCTAACATCTCCTCACTCCTCTTCTAACCTAGCCGCCGCCTCCTCATTCAACACCACCTCCTCCTCTAACACCTCCTAACATCTCCTCCTCTTGCTGAGAGTCTCAGACGCTCGAGGGACAGCTGGAACAATAAACGCTTCAGTTTGTTTAAAATTAAACTGTCATATTTACTCAGTAAGTGAGCTGAAAGAAGCTACGGTGTCTTCTGAAGCTCCGCCCCCAGCACACTGCCTCTGAGCAGGTGTGTGTTTACCTGTCGGACAGGTTTAATCACCCAGGTGTCAAACATGCACCCTGTGTAAACAGCCTCATGGTTCAGCTGATGGAAGACTCGATTAAACACAGAGAGGAAACCACAAAAACTCCAGTCTTCATCCTGTTCCACCCAGTAGAAGGCCGTCCAATCAGGAACCACGACAGGTTCACACCAAACACTTCGTCCAATCAAGAACCACAACATGTTCACATCAAACTCCTCGTCCAATCAGGAACCACGACAGGTTCACA